GGAGAGAGCAGTGAAGCAAAGAAGACGGATGCCAGCGAAGAAGATAGCTGCCTCCTGGAATCCTCGCCGGCAGGAGCAGCGCAGGAACCCAGACTGGTAATCTGTATTCCCCCATTCCCTCTATCTCCCTCTTTTCCTTTTTCTATTAAGAAAGGCAAACCATATTGTATTGCTTGCCACAGCTTGCTCTGTACTTAGCCAATTATCTTGTGTTCAATTAGTACATTGTAGGTAGTTAATAAATGCTTGAACTTGGAGACTTGTTGTCCACTCCAATTGGGGATTTGCGAATCTGAGTCACTTGTCCCCCTCGTTGGAGCGGGACATGACAATGGGTTCATGTCATCACATGCTCCAGCAGTTTGTCTTTCTCAGTTGTGTTTTTGGAACCTATCTCAAACTGTCTGCAAAATCTCCAGAGACAGGCTGTAGCAGAGAGATCTTCAACAAGGAATATCTCAATGCAGTTGTAACCTTGTTTTTCCTGAAAAGAGGAAGGAAAGTTGGAGAAGAAGAATTAAGGATCTTGGGTGAGATTTTTTTAACTGAGGCTGTTGATGCTTGCCACAAATCTCCTGGGATGCCAATACACGGGACAGCATTGTGCCAGCATTGTCCAATAGCCTTTACTCAAGTCTCATTTTCAAAGAGAGCTCTAAGAGGCCTAGATTGTCAGTGGTACTTTAGGAAGAAAATGAAATTAAGTCATCAAAATGGACTTACTCAGGACAACAAATGGTGAGTATCATTGCAACCAGCTTTTCATTTAGAAGTTTAATATCTGCCCCAACCATGTAGTCTGTGACTCCGCTGCTGTCAGTGAAGGTTGAGAGCTTGCAGCAGGGCTTATCATTGCATCCCAGGCCCAGTGTCTGACAAGTAGATCACTACTGCACTGTTGGAGAATGGCTAGTAGAACAAGGCCATAGCTCCCTGCAGGAGCTGGTCGGCCATAGCTCCCTGCAGAAGTCGGTCACAGCCACCTGAGGTAAACAGAGGAAAAAACCCAGGGTACAGTTATGTAAACAAGGAAGGAGATTCAAGGGTCAGTGATGCTAACAAAGACTGTTGTGAGAACAAAGAGATAAGTTGGGGGTGCATTATGACCTTGGGGGTGAAAGAAAAATAAAGAGCCCTGGGAGGAAAACAGGTTCAAAGCAAGAAAAATGTTTATGCATACCAGAAATACCACAGGGGGCTGGGATATTATAATGTGACCTTTTAGATGTACCCAATGGCTGAGATATTATAATGTAGTTTCTTAAATGTATCCAATAGAGTTGCAAATATTGTAGAGTGCTTATATAAGGTGTGATTTCTTTCAATAAAGTTGAAGCTTGCTCTATCATTCACATTGAATCGGCTGCTTGTTTCCTCCGCCCGCCGCACTACACATCTGTAACTGAAGTGATTTTTCACCAGAACCACTCATGATGTGCCTGCTGATTTCTTTTTGTCTTGTTTTTCTCTGGAGTTTTGCTTGAGAAAGTGTACTTTTAAAGTGGGAAAATGTAGATTGCACCAGCATAACCACTGGGCTTACGCTTCTGTAGCTTTTTAATAAGAAGGCAGAAGCTGGTTCTGAAGAATTATTTAACTCCATTGCAAAATGAAGCCTGTCAAAATCACCTGCTTTCCTTCTTTGGTATTTGAGCCCTGTCCCTGACCACACTGGTCTGATGATTATTCTGGTTCTCTTGAGCTGGCTGTTTCTTAGGGGAACCAATGAAAAATACTTTTATGCTGTGCCATCTTCCTCAAACACTCCATCTGGAACTTGGAGTAAATGGAGAGCCTGCCCTCGAACTCACAGGCTGCAGTAGTATTAGCATGTGTTAGCTTTAGCAGTGCTTGCCTCAAAGTCCGAGTAGGTATTATGGAATGTAAATAATATGGTTCGATTCTCTGTGACAGTCCTGTGGCTGCTCCTGTTGGTAAAAACAACCAAACACATTATCATGCAATGGTCCTAAGGAAGACCTTTCCTAGGGGAAACAGTATCAGCATTTCCTATTAGATGTATGGCTATTTCTCTTTCTTTTTCTAATATGATGCAATGCTTTTATTTTGAACATAACAACTACTGATTTGTCCCTGAGCAAGTAAAACAAGGCTTAGATGAGCACAGTGTGCCACCATAAGAGTTTTGTATTTATCACAAACTCTGGATCCAGAGATATATTTGATGTAATCAAAAATGAGCTTGTTCCCTTTTTTGTTTTAAGACCCAAACACAACAAGAATTAGATGTCTGTATTTCTTTCAAAGGAATGCTGTTCTGCTCATCCTAAGGAAAACTAATTCCTAAGAGCACAACTTATTTAAAAATTGATAATCACCTGTAGATGTCAAGCCTCGTCAGTGTTTATGACAAATGAAAAAAGTAACATACCCATTACAATCATATCTGTTTCTCATCAATTCTGTTACCATTCTATTTGTATATCAGCATGTATATTAAAAAAAAAAAGTATCTTCAATTTCCAGGTGTAGCCTTGTAAGAATTTCACAGGAAAGCATTGCAAAAAGTATATGAAATCACTGGGTTTTTATTGGCTGTGATTCCATTTTAAAAGAACATCGTACCATTTACCCACATCATGCAGGAAAAAGTAGCAGGCAAATAACAAATGAATTTCACAAAGTATTTAAATCATCTTCTATTTGCTTGGAGAGTACTACATGCATCTGAAAGCAAGCTAGGGTACATTTCTACTAGAAAATGCATGGCTAAGCTGAATTTGCTCTCTGTGAGAGAAAAAGCTATTTTTTAATGACAGTATTGAAACATTTTAGTAACTCTGCATGAAGAATCAGTTATCTGATAACATAGAACAGATACATACAACATTCAGATATATAAGACATTACGTTGAGGTCACAACAGCTAATTTCTAACAATGCTTATTCTAGCACAGTAGCTTGACAAAAAGATGTATTCAGCAGCATTCGTATAGTCTTTCTTGATGCAGGAGAGAGGCTGGGAGGGACCTAAGCCAATGTATGGTTCTAGAAACACAGACAGAGGAACTCCAAAGTGATTTAGCACATGATCTTATATTTATTTTAAACACAAGAGTAGAATTCCTAATTAATATTGCAGTCTGATTTCATATGGCTTTCTCTAAATATACCTGTGAGATCACAAGGTCAAAGATAATCATTTACCCTCCAAATGTGGAGGCCTTTTGACTTTTTTTTATTAACCAGGAAGGTCTTGGAGCTGTGAAGGAAAATGGCTGCAGTGTCTACCCACCAACCTTTCTACGTAAATAAAAACTAGCTAAAAAAAAGAAAATATCTCATTTACCTGAGATTGAACAAACCATGATGCAAATAAAACAACGGCATGGAAAGACAGAGATATTCAGAATCCAAACAATGAAACATGCTTCTCTTTGGTCTTGTTTAAGTGCTTCAACACCTGCTTGAGTGCTGAGGGGGAAAGTGTCTGAGACACTGTTTTCCTTTTCTGTACATGAGCCAAAGGTGACTGTGTCCCATGTTGCCAGTTCAGTGCGGGAAGGGAAATAAATGGATAGGCAGAAGGGCTGGGAGTGTGCCTGCTCTTGAGTCTGTTCAGCATGGCTTAGGCACTTTGGGGACAGTGGAATGATTTGAGGAGAGGTCCAGAACTCATGCAGGGTTCCAAAAGTTATGGGTTAAACTCAAGCAAAACCTGTCCAATACCATGGTAAATCTTCATTAAACGAAAAGGAAAATTAAAATGGGAACTACCAACTCACATCTGGCTGAACTCTCTGCTGTCCATGAAGGAAGGGTTGCTTCAGGTCTAGAGAGCTGAGGCACAGAAGTGATGACATGGCTGGCTGAAAACCTCCCACAGTGAAAGACATGGAAAACATAATTTAAATGCCTTCCCCTTCCCTCCTGCTCTGTAAGCCTGGCATGAGGCCTAACAAACTCAGCACAGAGTTCTTATGGACCTCTTCAGGGTTTGGATCCAGATGTTCACACAACTCAGGAGCTCAGCTGACAAAAGGAGTATTTTTAATGCTCTGAGCCCACCGATAGTACTATCGGCTCATGAAATGTGAGGCCACACAAGATTCTGACTTAGACCAGTCATTCAATGGAACAAATGCGGAGGCACAGTTATAAAAAATAATACCAAACACTCTTCCTTTCTCTCTCCTCTTCCTTTCTTTCCCCTTTTCCTCATCTTTCACATGTATGTGCATACACATGCACATCAAGCTGTCAGGGAGACTGTGAAAATAGACAGTACCATTCTGCAAGGACACCAGGCAGAAAACTCTATGTCAGAACAGTATTTCACTGGATGAGGAAGTGAGTCCATGATGGGGGCTAGGGAAAGGTCAACAAGCAAGTGGTACAGAAAGGCCAAAGCAAAGCAGAATGAGCTCATCCTCTTTATTTGTTTGTTTGTTTGCAGAGTTCTCTAGCACAAGGCCAGGGAAAAATATTAATGGATGTGTTCTTTTTAGCAGGGGCACATTTCTGCTGGTTCTACTTATGTATTAGAGGACACATGCCACAGAGACTAATCAGAGCATCTCAAAAGTGTTGATGTCAGTGTGATCTGTGCTAGTAGATTTCACTACCAATGAGTGACTAAAGCAGAGTCAAAGTCTGCCTTTTATATTGAAGGGCTGTTGGATTTAGTTCCTGCTGTGGCAGAGCATCAAAATCAGCTGCTGCCTTTGTGACACAAGGATAGTTTTAACTCTTTTAGGTTTACTTGAATAGGCTCAAATTACTAGTTGCATGGGGTGAGTAGGACACTCTCCTGAGAAAATGGTTAATTGCTCAACACTGCTATGCTATACTCAAGAATTGATTCAGAGATAAAGAGCATTCTGGGTCATTAAAGTCTTAGGAGGAGAGACACTCATCTTGCTTTAAATGACAGCTAAGGCAAAAGAATATTGGCATTACCTGAAGGAGTAAAACCTGCCCTCTCTTTCCTCTGGGAAGTCATTAGCAACTTGTCCTTGAATGAACATGCCTTGTTTCTGGATGCAGCCGGAAATAAGTTGCATCTTTTTCAGCTGGTTCTGACTTGTGCATGAGTCAAAATTCCTCAGCCTCCTCCTTGAATTCAGTAGAAACTTATGGTTGAAGTTATTTGCAAAGAAGCAAGAACTATCACACCTCAGTAAGAATTAGGTGAGCAGAGCAAAACAAATACAATTCTTCTCTTTCATAATATTTTTTTCCCTATTGTGCAAGGTTTAAGCCTTGCCGGGATGAGAGAGCATGTTGCTGTTGCCCCTCCCCCACCCGCACTGGTAGGGCTGGAAGTTAGACACAGACCCCAGCTAAAATAACAAGAAATTTAATACAACAGAGTGATAGAACAATCTGAACAACAACAGTATCAACGGTAACAACAATAAACAGCAATAATAGTGAACAAGACAAACGATATACAGAGAAATACCGTTAGCTGGTTTACGGAAAGCAAAGTTCCCTCCCAAGCCCGCCAAAGAGCTAGGAAAAAGGTTCCGCCCCTGGACCTGATGTCAGCATGGTATGAATAACCCGACTGGAGATCCCTTCCCCCTCTCTCTCTTCTGGGGAAAACTTGACTCTATCCTGGCTGAACCAGGACACCTATTATGAGAGATGTTGCTAAAAGGCACAGAGTTCACAAGCTCACTGCCTTAACCATGGTGCAGATTTCTTCTGCTTACCTCAAAAAGTTATTAATATCTTTTAAAACTTCTTATTCAGGAAAATACTGAGAGGTTTGCCTAAATTCAGTTGCACTGAACAGTTGCATCAGGGAAGTTCCATTGAAGTAAAATGCTTAATTTAGGTACATAATGAAATGTCTAAATTTGCTTTCCTTTTTGTTATCAGTAGAAAGTGTATATTTGCTTCCAAATCTTACTTAGGAAACTTTTACTGTTCCTATGACAGGGACAAGCAATGCTAGTTCTGCCAGACAAGCCCTGATTCTTTCACAGGGTTGTAAGACTGAGATGGCATGATGCTTTCACAACAACAAAGACCCAGACAATTCCAGGATCAGCAATTCAGATGACATGCTAGATACCTGACCATGAAGGGCTCTGTTCATAGTAAATCTATGTGAGTCTGTGTATGTACTAGCAAGACAACATCTCCAGCAGAATTTGGCTTATGCAGTTACTCAGTATCTACAGCTGAAAAACCCTCAGAGGGCTTCTCAGCTGTAGATACTGTGTCTGGGAAACGCAACAACGATAATTGTGAGAGAGAGATTTCCTCCCACCCTACTAGCATCAAGGCATGCCATAGACTGTAATATTAATTAATTATTAATTAATATTATTTAATATAATATTAATTAGCTCCTTCACAGCACTCGAGAAAATAAGTGACCTCCCCAAGGCAACACAGTAATTTTGCATGATACATAGCAGGCATACTCAGTATTTCTGGATCTCCAGGACCATGGCTAACATTCAGACCACCACACTCTCCCACACACTGCAGGAAGGGGTGGAGAGGACACAGCTGCAGCAATATACTAGAAACCAAATGTCCATCCTGCAAGCACTGCTAGGAATGGGACAATTGAATATGGCACAAGGCAGAAACAGGAAGGTCAGTTAATCGGAGCAGCCTAGGTACTTGGTCACTGGCTTCAAATGGGTTGGGAAGGTCCTCCACCAGAGCAACATGTACTCTCCTGTGGTTTCAGCTCTCTGTCTGACCAAATCTGATCTGAAATCTGAAGTTAAGTGTATGGCTAATTCCCAAAGTAACATGACTCTTGCTTAGACTCTGAGGTATTTAACTTCCACCATCTGAGGGCGAGTGACTCTTCCACAATTCTGAGTGATTTCAGCTGTGTAAGTCATGTGTGATTTACCTTCCAAATTATCTCTTTATTTATGTCTGTGATAGAATTAAAACAGAAAAGCTCTGCTTACATTGGAGGACTAAGATATACCTTCTGAAGGCAGATGTGCTCAACAAATGTCTACTGTGAGCCAACCAACAACAACATTATTAATAATGACTAATAATTACTACTGATAATAATATAATCAAAGAAAATTAAAGAGGAGGTCACTTACTGAACACTCCTTCCTGCTTTGGATGAAAATGCATGTGAGGTTGTTCGTTTTCTATGCTTAATGTACAGTTGTCTTATTTAACATACATAGTACTATGGCTTATAATAAAAGTTGTGTAGTTTGCAGCTTTTTAATCTTTACATCCTTTCAGAGGCATCTACTGGATGTGACTATGTACAAGAAAGGAATAGATGAGTCTTGGGATGGAGGGAAGGGAATAGGAAGTGAAGGGACTCCTAGTGAGCAGTAGAGAGCAGAGGTGGGGAGGTCTGCATGATGGATGGCAAGACTGTAAATCCCCATTGGGCAAAAGAGAAATCCTTTGCAGTTCTGTTTATGCCCATCTAACAGTCTGCAGCTACTACTTCTTGAACATGTCCTGCAGGGGCCCTGGTAGGTATTTGATGACTGTGTCTAGAATGCTCTCTTCTTCTTCCTCCTCCTCATCCCCACAGCCAGGAGGGATTGCCTTCTTTGGGCGGGTCAGACTCCCTTCAGCATTAGCTTCCAGTGTGGCCTGGGCCTCTGATTCCTTTTCTTCCTTCTTCTTTATCCCATACTGCAGGGGAGAGATAACACATTGTTAGTCACCCACTGAACAGGATGACTGATGAAGCCAGCCATCACACATAGTGCCTCATATTCTGCAGTACGAACATCGCTGTTAATATTCTGCTTTTGCTCTTTTCCACAAGACACCCAAATTGTCCATCCTAACCCCTGCTAAGTACAGCCCAGTGGATGGACAGCTCTCACAAGACAAGATGGTCAGATGCTCAGATGACTCAGAAACAAGCATGGGAGAGAAACTGGGACTATACAGCCATAGGCATAGCAGAGACAATACAAGATCTCTGTTAGTAAAGTTCTGTGGTGGCATTCTACTGGTGTTGATCTTCCTCTTTTCTGTTAACAAGTCTGATGCTCAAGTCCATCATCCGTAATGACTTTGGGATTCCATCTGCAGCATTTTATAATAAAGGTTTATGGATGTGGCAAACTTCAGGAAAAAATAAGTATCAAAAGAAAGCAAACAGGACAGGACAGACAGGCAGACTACAGTGAAAAAGACAGTTTGGGATTTTCTCATAGGGGAGATATCCTACACAACCTCATCCCAGTTCTCTTGGTATAAGTGGAAAAGAAAGACCTCTTAGTGAAAATAAAACTTACTGAGAAACTCTGTCTGTATTTGCACACTGAACTCTGCACTTATGGGGGAAAAGTTAACTTATACTGTCTGAAGATAAACATCCTTTAGCCTTAGTGAGTAGAATGGATACCTGAAATTTGCTAGTCCTAATAAGAATTAAAGACATGACACTACAACTCTACTTGAGTAACCAGAATCTCATTATGTTTTTATATTCAAAGTTCTAGGTTTAATAAACAAGTAAAGATATGCATGAGTGAATCAGATTAGGAAGAGAAATGCTGTAGTATCTCAGCTCCCACAGTGACTAGGACTTTCCAACTGCTAGTTTGAAAGCATGTCCAAGGAAAACAATTTCTGTACCACTAACCCACATCACTCCTCAGCTTTCATACAGTTCAGTAATTCTCAGGTGTTGCTACTATTCCAATAAGTGTTTGCACAGAGGATTTGGATATTATGGTGATACATGATTTTAAAGAAATGAACTCAAGGTGTCACATGCAAATCAGCAACAGCAACAGAAACACCTGCAAGCTATCCTCTTTATTATAGAATCATAGGATGGTTTGGGTTGGAAGGGACCTTTAAAGGTCATCTAGTCCAACCACTGTAATAAGTAGGGACATCTTCAGCTGGATCAGGTTGCTCAGAGACCTGCTCTGTTTATTCAGACCAATTTAAATTTCCCAGGTATTTTCCACTTTTTCTGATAATAGAGTTTAAACTTTCTTGGTTTTGTGATCAATGGTGCATCTCAGGAGGTGTCCCCTTTCTTGGTGCCCAGCTTTGTTTCAAAGAGGCCAGCTGCATGTATCAAGGATGCATCTGGTCACCAGGGTCACAGCTCCCAAGCCAGCAGGAACATTCTTCTGCTCACTCATTCCCCCTTATAACCAATTACATTTTATGGCTGCTCACATCTATCAACTACTCAGCCACCAGTGACCTCAAAAGAACCTGCAAAAATACTTTCAATCATTTCACTTCAGCTACATTAGGGAGTCATATGATCTTTGTGACAGAGAGGAAAGGCATTCAGGTTTGCTGTAGCAGCTATCAGATTCAAAATTATTGTTCTGTAAAAGTTATTCCTTTACTTATATCTAAATTTTAATTAAAGTACCAAATAGAATTAAGGTTGTTCTCAGTACATCAGAACCATAAAGTAACTAATTTAAATCTATACAAAGGTCAGCAAAACATTTTGCATGAATAAACTTGAAAATAACTTTGAAAAGAAAATTAGGTATGATTTCAAAACCATCAAAGAATTATATTGGTACAAAGTACTCAGTGTTTTCTAGTACTGATAGTATGGTACTGCTGAATAGATACAAAGTAGATGCTCTTTTTATTGTTTTCTCCTTTCATTTTCTCCATTAAGACTAGAGCACATTTTTTACCAGTAAAGCAAAAAATGCATTGCTGCTGTCATGACTTTCTGATTTCAAAGGGCTCTTGGGTTTGACAAGAAACTCCTAAACCTTTCTGAGCAAAGGCAATATCTTTGTTTCCTTTTTCTACCACCATTAACATTTAGGATGACAGCTTGCAAGTTTGAAACTAGGAACTTCAAAAAACCCGAGTTTTCTAAATCAATTCTTTCAAGCCAAAATGTTCATTAAGAATACTTGTCTAAGGATATTTGTCTTATGATTTCTATACATAGTGGATGCCAGTCACCAGATTTCAAGGGAGAGATGTTCAAGACGAATGATGTCTCCATTCATATCTGAGGCAAAGGAAGCATTTGGATTAGCTTGTAGTTATAGGGCTGAACACCACAGAGGAAATCCAACACAGGACCAGCAACCACTACAGGGGACAAGACATACACTGCTAGGTTGTGGGCAGTCTGCATGGCTGGCTGATACTTACTGTCCCTCTCAAGTTACAGGTAGATGTCTCTAGGTGATTCCTAGTGTCATTTATCTACAGACTTTACCTTCTTTTGCCAGCTAGAGGAGAAAAGCAGTAATGAAACAACATAGTAACACACAGGTTCCCTGCATGCTTTCAAATCCTCCATCTCAAAACAAATACCAGCTCATGGTGGGTTGATCCTCTAGCTCATGAATATGTTGAACATCCAGGCCACAGGAAACTGTGGAACAAAACCCACTCAAGCACTACTGTGTGCTAGGACAGAGGGAAGCTCAAAGATTATATAAAGGAGTTACACCCTGTAAATGTCAGCCTGTGTGGACACATTTCCTTAGGAAGCCTCTACTAAGTGTCCTCAGAGACTAGACAGACCTTAGTTCTTACAAGGTATGTCCAGTCTTATGCGGCAGCTTCAGAATGGGGCAATACACGGCCTGGAAAGATATTTTTCACTGTAAAAGGGGATTAAATAAAACCAGATACTATTGTTCCAGATTACTGGCACAAATGCCAAGTACAGAAATAAATTTTTCTTGGCTCCTACCAGCAGTGAGACTACAACATGTAGAAACAAGCCATTTCTCCCTAGTATATATGTAACACCTAAATGCAAATTTATTTTGCACAAAAATATTCTTCTCCTGGAGAAAGATGACATTGTATCAAATGTAATTTTTACAAGAAAGAATCAGTTTTGAGAATTCAGAGAGAACTTAAACTTGGTGGTATTTTGTAATGCTTCACATTAATCAAAATGAAATGCTTTGATGATTCACAGGTGAATAAAATGGTATTTTTCAAGTCTGCAATTGTTTCAGACAAAATCAAATTTTAGAAAAGACTTAATATGAGCAAAATGTTTAAAAAGCATCTTAGCATCTTCACAAGAAATCTTTTAGGTGAAGCCAACAAATATTTTTTAAAAGTATAATTAAAAATAATGAATCTTTTTGGTGCTCTGGATTTCCTGAGGATGGGAAATACTGCATTACCTCAAAAAAAAATTTGATGGATTATAACAATTTCAGTTTTTGCAAGGTCCAATCCCACAATACTGAATATCAGAGGCCAGAATTTTTATATCATTATCTGCTTGGCCTTCACGCATGCCACTATATATTTAATAATGTAGAATTATGGACCTAACACAGAAAGATACTGAAACATTTTATAATAATTATGTGAACCACCTTGCTGCTCCTAAAGTCATCACTATGCTGTCATATGAGGATTGTTTTCACTGGGTCATATGTTGGTGAAATACTGGTGGACTGGAGTCCTCTGTCATCAAGTGGAAAGAATAAGGAAGAAGCACCATGGCCCTTGGCTTACTCCATAGTCACTGCATGTTAGGACAAAACAAGACTAACAATGCTGCCAGCCATCAAATTCCTCCCCATCTGCTTCCTTCCCTATTCCTTCTGCTTTCCACAGGAAGCCAAAGTGCATGCATGAACTAGAAACGTGCTGGAAATTCAATCTAACTCTAATGTCAGTAAGGCTGTCAAGGAACAGGGAGACTGTTGAGCCAAGGTCGACCTGCAGCTAAAATGTCAACCCACCACAAATATAGTTACCATTTCTTATGACAAGCTAATTATTGTTTACTAAAATTGAACACACCTATCTGGCAAATACCTAGGCCACAGAATGAGTAAAGCAGTAACATCACAATTAAGACACTTGCAGAACTAACTGTTTATTTCTGGGTCAGTTATGTAACTGATTCTTCAGGAAGACAGATGCAATTAAGATGAAAGTCTTATTTGGAGAAGCTAAGGAAATACAGGAGGAGTTTTGTGGGACATAAAAAGACAGCTCAAAGACTACATGGTGGGATCAGAAGATTATCAGTGCAGAGGATTCTGGAGTCTGAGAATAAACTGATGCCAAGACTAACATCTTTCCCATGTTTCTCTGGTATAGGCAGGATGCCCCTGCGACTCCCATACTCTGGATGGGGATTGAAAAGACCAACTGAGTAGTCTTGCTGACCTTAGCAGGTTGGGCTAACCATAACACAATATCTGCGGCGGGCGGAGGAAGCAAGCAGCCGATTCAATGTGAATGATAGAGCAAGCTTCAACTTTATTGAAAGAAATCACACCTTATATAAGCAGTCTACAATACACTACTTGTAACTCTATTGGATACATTAAAGAAACTACATTATAATATCTCAGCCACTGGGTACATCTAAAAAGTCACATTATAATACCCCAGCCCCTTGTGGCATCTCTGGTATGCATAAACATCTTTCTTGCTGCGAACCTGCTTCTCTCCCAGGGCTGCTTTCCTCTGACCCCCAAGGTCATAATGCGCCCCAACTTATCTCTGTGGTCTCACAACAATCCTCGCTAGCACAACTGAGCCTTGGGTCTTCATCCTTGTTTACATAACTGTACCCTGGGTTCTTTCCTTTGTTTACCTCAGGTGGCTGGGACTGACTTCTGCAGGGAGCTATGGCCGACCAGCTCCTGCAGGGAGCTATGGCCTTGCTCTCTGCAAGCCGTTCTCCA